AGTTCCTACCGAGTGGGGGCCATCTATGACTTTGACAATGTCCTTGACGTGGATGTTGTTCTGTTCTGAGTCGAGGGCGACAGCGAAACGGTTGTCCTTCTTCCTGGTGACAGCCTGGTGCCTCACCGTCACCACCTTTCCGTACATGTTCAACACCTGCAACCAACAGGAATGGCAAGAAGCTGGGAGGGGTAGTGCCCAAAACAGCCCTCCAAGGCAGCACGGACTGCAAAGATGCAAAACAGAAGGTGGGGAGGCATTTCTGGCACAGGGCTGCACGTGGAAACCGCCAACACCTGAAAACACACACAGGAAAAAACAATCAAAGCTCCTTCCAGCAACTGGGACTCACCTGGAAGGTCTCACGCTCCAGTCGTACAATAACACCCACTGTCTGGGGGTCCAGCTGCACCAGTTCACCCCATTCATGCTGACCCCCCACATCCACACCCGACGCCGTCTCTGAGCAGAGCTGCAGGTCCCGTGGCAGAACCTTGAGCTGGTGGTGGGGCAGGAAGAATGAATGAAATTCAGCTGCCGTGGCCAATTTCCACCCCCCCCTCCCTCCTTCCTACCAGCGTCACACTGAGCCAAACTCGTGGCATTTCACCCCTCTCTGCTCACCTCATGCATGGTGAGGTCTGAGAAGAGGATGACGAAGTTCTCCTCCACCCTAACAATGAGGCCTGTGTCACCCTCAAAACGGCCTGCAATCACCTTCACGTGGTCACCCATCTTGAAATATTTCCGCAGCTCCTGAGCTGGGAATTCCAGCATGTCCTAGAGGAAGGGAAAACTCTACAGATGCTGGGGAAGAGGCGTGCAGCGTCCTGGTGAGGCCGTAGCAGCCACACAAAGCTGCTCCCTGGGTGCTCTGCTACCTTCAGATCCTCGTGTTTGGGCATGATGGTGATCTTGTTGCCATCGACGCTGAGGATCTTGCCCTGCAGGTTGATCAGTTCACCTTCACACACCTCCACGTTGTCACCAGGCTGGAAATTATGCTCACGCTCCTTCCCTAGGGGTGACAAGAGAGATAAATCAGGGGACAACGCATTGGGAACAGCAGTGTGTATGAAGAGGCACCTGCATACCTGTGCTCTCTGTCACCACCTCCAGGTCAATGCCTTCAGGCTGGTCTTCAAATTTCTCCAGCTCTGACAAGGTGGGCTTCACCCCCTCTGTTATCTGTCGAGAACAGAGGTGGTGGTGACCACAACATCCCAATCCTCTCCAGAACTCACCTACTTTTCTAAGCTGTGCCAATGCACCACGGCAGCAGCCATCACTACCAGAGAACAGGGAGTCTCTGGCCTCCCACCACCCTCCTTCCCACCAGTAACTCAAGTGTTTGGGTCTCGACATAAGAAGGAAAGCAGTTTTTGGGGGAAAGGAGGTGGGTTTAGGTTGGATCTAAAGAGAATCCCACTCTCACCACTGCTGACATGGCAAAGCTCTTGAAGAGAAAACCCTTGCGGCTGTAGCGGTTGCCTTCAAAGATGAGAAAGTCTCCATCAGAAGCCACATCACCTCCCAGAGACCTAAACCAAGACAGAAGCAAAAACCAAATCACCCCCTGGTGGACAACAGCTCACCAGAGAGCTTTTTTTTTTTCCAAGCATGGTTGTTTTGTTGGTTTTTTTTTTCTTTTTTCAGTCTGATGTTCTGTGATGCCACCACCTACCTGATCTTCTCGGCATCAAAAAGCCTCTGAGGGGGTCGCTTGAACTTCTTCCTCTTAGCAAACCAGTCTTTCTGCAGGGTGGGAGGCAACACAATAAGCAAACGACCCCCCCCCAGCACAGCAGCACAACACAAGAATGCTCCACTTACCAGACTCATCCGGGCTTTGATACGGTCGAAGTCAATACGGGGGATCATCTTTAAGGAAATCTGGTTCTGGCTGGGCTCCACGTAATCCACCTGCCCACAGGGAGAGGGTGGCAGTGAGTCAGGTATCCTCAACTCCCCACTGTAGGGTTCCTGTAACTTCCTGCCTCACCTGGGCGATGTCATCCTTGTAGATTCCCCTCTTCAGACGCACCCAGGATTTAGGCTTGAGGTTGGTTACCTCCTTCACTACTTTCAGCACGTCTGTCATCTCCTTGATTGGGACCATCTGCTGGTTCCAGTAACCCATCCGCAGATTTCCTACCCCCTCAATCGCCTGCTTCACGTGCGTCTGCTTGTAGGCCTCCACGTAAATGTATCCTTTGACGTGCTCGGGGGCCACCACTGACTTGATCTGCAGAGGCTGGAGGACACGCAGGGCACATCAGGGTCAGAGGGGTGCAGGTTTTGCAGCCCCCTCAGCTGCCACGTGGCTCCCCGCAGCCTCACCGTGTCAGTGAATTGGTATGCAATGAATTTCCTCATCAGAGCAATGGCCGTAGCACGCTCCTCTCCGATCTGTGGTGGAAACAGGGTTGCTTTAGGGTTGAGAATATGCCTCCCAAATGCTGATACCGACTCCAAAGATCCCGAGTGCTTACCTTGCATTTCACCGTCCAGAGATTGGGATCCCTGCATAGGACCAGAGAAAGGCATTTATAGGGTGGCCTGACCTGGCTAAACCTGCCAAAGCCCACCTGGCTGGGCAGCTCAGTGTAACACAGACCTGACTATCTCATTTTTTTCCCCCAAAAAAATCCATGTGTTTTCTACCCCCGAGGTGCCAACGTGACACTCACTTGACTCCAGGCAGCAGCTGCTGCTGTGTGATGTCATCCGAGAGCTCATCAGAGCCACCATAAACACTGGTAAAATAAAATCAGATGTTGAAACAGAACAGTACAACCCTTGACACGCGATAAGACAGGGTGACAGGGCCACATCTCCCAACTCACGTCTCTCCCACGGAGGACTTGGCGTATTTCTTCATGTAATACTCGCCCAGCTCTTCTTCACGTTGGTCCCTGGAGGGGGAGAAGGTAGAACTGGGCATCAGCACAACTCCCACAGCCTCTCAAGGGGCGAGGGGGTGGCACATAAACAGAGCTGGCATCACCTCCAGAGATTCTGCAGCCGCCGAGCACCAGAGCGGTCCTCATCCAACACCACGTTGTCAATGTTGGAAGCTGTGAGGGAGAGGAGGGCAGAATGTGGCTCACAGCAGCACAGGGAGGTGGCCGGGTTTAGCTGGCCCCAAGGGGTGGCAGTGGTTGCCCCCCCCAGGGGGGCTCAGACTGACTCAAGCTTACCTTCAATCTCTTCTGCTCGGGAACAAGGAGGTGGCGGTGGAGGGCAGACAGTATGGAGCAAATAATAGCGGCAAAACCACCCATGGGTGAGGGGGAACAAAGGGGAAGGAACAAAATTAAGACGGTAGCACAGGAGGGGAAAGGAAAATACAAGAAACGTTTAAAGAAAAAAAAAAAAAAAAGGGTAAAAAAAAAATAAAACCAGGCTGGTGTGAATGAGATGCGCTAAGCAGACAGACAAAGGGTGGACAGAAAGACAGACAGTGGGATGAGGGAGGTGGGGGATCAGGGGCCACACAGTCCCATTCCCACCCCTGAGTGTGGGGCTTGGGGAGAAAAACACGCTCAGAGGCGGGGAAAGAGCAACAGCAGCCAACCCAGTGTTTTAACCCAGAAGAGCTGCACCAAAACCAATCCGGCAGCACAGCACTGCAACCCAGGACGGCGCACCTCTCCCAAAAGAGCCGTAACACCACAGAGCTCTGCTTCCATCCTCTTCTGGCCTTAAGGCCAGAGAGCAGGGATCAAAGCCCGAGGGGGATCTCCAAGCCCTACGGAGCATCCTCAAAGCTGGGGGAAGCCCCCAAAGCAACCTCCTCACCTTTCTCCAGGATGTCCTCAGCTCCATCTTCCCACTGATCTTCATCCTCGTATTCATCATCCACATCTGGGGGAGATCACAGAGGTGAGAGCAAAATCCGGAGGCAGCTGAGGCCCCCCCCACCCCATCCCTGCTCAACCCCCAGCTCACCAGCTTCATCTAAGATAAAGCCGCCATGCCGTGGCTTCTTAGCAGGCCGGTCATCGTCTTCCTCTTCCTCCTCCTCATCGTATTCCTCCTCCTCCTCCTCCTCCACCTCTTCCTTCTCGCTGCCCGCTGCACTGGCACGCTCCTCCTCGGCCTGCACAGCGGTGAGGGGTGGGAGATGCTGAGGGCAGGGGGAGGCGGGGCACGGCGCACCCCCCACACGTTCAGCCTCACCTCAGCTTCTTCGGCCTCCTCCGCCTCGCTGCTGCGCTCGCTCTCCTCCTCTGAGAAGTTGCTGTCGTCGCTGTCCGACATGATGGGGCTGGGGGAGGGGAAGGGAGGAGTCCGGAGGTGCGCTAAGGGAGCGGGAAGCGGACACGAGAAGACGTTGAGGGAACGGGGGGGAGATCGCTGGGCTTAAAGCTGGGCCCGGTGGCGACAGGAGGAACGGCGAGCAGCACCGGCCCGCCCCCAGCAGACACCGCCGCCAGGAGGGGAGCACTTCCGCCTCCCTCCATTCGTTTCCGGTTCCGGTCTGCCAGCACTTCTAGTAAGCTTAGCCTCCGTCACGTGTTCGTAGGCTGTGTGTAGAGCGGAACTCGCTTGGTCACGTGATTAGACGGAGGAGGCGGTGGCCTGGAAGGGCCAAAAAGGGGCGCGGCGGAGGAAATCGCGCTGCGTGAAGCTATCGTAGGGTGGGAACTTCCGGTTCCGGTCAGCCAGCACTTCTCGCGAGCTTAGCCTCCGTCAGGTGTTCGTAGGGGTGTGTAGAGAGCAGGGCGCTTAGTCACGTGATCAGACGGAGGCGGTGGTGGCCTGGAGGGGCCAAAAAGGGGCGCGGCGGAGGAAATCGCGCTGCGGGGAGCTGTCATGGGGTGGGGTTTGACGTCACAGCCCCGCTCT